CAGGACTGAGGCTGTAGACCCAGGACTGAGACTGTAGACCCAGGACTGAGGCTGTAGACCCAGGACTGAGGCTGTAGACCCAGGACTGAGGCTGTAGACCCAGGACTGAGGCTGTAGACCCAGGACTGAGGCTGTAGACCCAGGACTGAGGCTGTAGACCCAGGACTGAGGCTGTAGACCCAGGACTGAGACTGTAGACCCAGGACTGAGGCTGTAGACCCAGGACCTGAGACTGTAGACCCAGGACTGAGACTGTAGACCCAGGACTGAGGCTGTAGACCCAGGACTGAGACTGTAATAAACTGGACTGAAGGGTTTGATCGTGTTTATTTGAACAGATGGACAAAGATAAAGTCGTCACGGAAACAGAAGATGGAACTGATGCAGACGTCATTTACAATACACACTTAATTTAATTATATACAACACACAGACACAGAGATACACACACACAGAGACACACACACACAGACACACAGACAGACACACACACACACACACACAGACAGACACACACACACACAGACACACACACACACACACACACACACATACACACAGACACACACACACACACAGACACACACACAGACACACACACACATATACACACAGACACACACACACACAGACACACACACACACACACAGGCACACACAGACACACACACACACAGACACACACACAGACACACACACAGACACACACAGACAGACACACACACACACACACACATAGACACACACAGACACACACAGACACACACACACACCCACAGACACACACACACACACACACACACAGACACACACACACAGACACACACACATAGACACACACAGACACACACACACACCCACACATACACGTTTTTGTTACCTGGTGGGTCCCTTTGACAGGGCCGTTCAGAATGGGACCCATAGACATAATCTTTTTTTACCAAGACTTTAAGTAATACAAAACAGTCAATAGAAACCAAACAACTATTTTAAAGGAATTTTATTTTAGATTTTGTTTTCGAATTGCAGTGATTCTATTTTTGACATAGAATTTAATGCCACTCCATGTCCGATGTCTAAGGTCATCTGGTGAGGCATTAATGCAGGCCAGGCAGTGAGACTTCCCAGGGACCTTTCCAGTCTGTATGAAAGGTGTCATGGTCTTCTCCACAGCCTTCACCTCAGATGCAGACCATGGCTTTCTTACACGTTCTAGGGAGAGAAATAAAAATATATTAGCAATATACACTCCCAGGGTTAGGACCAAGCAGCCTGGCTGTAATCCCCCACCTGGTACACTTACCAGAAGGGGCACTGCCACTACCATGGGGTGCATCTGGATGAATGGTTGAAGGTTCTCCGCTTGAAGTTTCTTTTAGCCCGTCCGTTTGTGAGAGGATCTCTACTGCTCTCCCTGTCGCACAGAAAATAAAAATACAAGTGGCCTTTAGGGGAAAAAAATCATACATATTTTAATAATATCAAGAATTACCTTCAGGCTCAATTTGTATCTGGTCGAGGCTCTTTCCTTCGAATTCCGTCACTCTTCCCTGCTCCATGGCCATCAACACTTTGCTGATTTTGGCCAGCTCCAGTGTCCCCTCTGGTAGTCTGTAATATTGCCTGTGGATGCGAATGTCATGGCCGAGGAAGTTGGCAAGTATGTCCATCTCATTCTCTTTCATATTGAGAACTGTAGACATAGTAGCTATGTGCTTTCTAAGTTTGGTTGAGGATAGCATCTCTGGATGCACCGCACCACATTCTTTGGCTACCTGGCGTAGGGAGTCTGATCCCCTGATGTGGGTGTCTGCGCCCGGGCGGGAAAAGAAGTATGGGTTATGGTCAGAGATGGAACAGGCCCTTCTGTTCTCCACCAGCACCTCCATCGAAGCAATCATTTCAGGAGTCAAAAGAACCGGCACTTTCCGACTTCTTTTCCCTTTAATTTCAATGCGTTGAAAATGCTGACACAGCTTTTTCTCAAGTTGGGACAGTCCCAGAGCAATGTCAGAATGGATCCCAGTCTTATTTCTTAAGGTAAAGGCTGTCAGTGGCATCTTTGAAACCTCACCTTCCCTTCTTCGATTGAAAATGATGACCTCACAAAGAGTCAAAACTGCCAGTTTAGACCAATGCTTAGACGTTGGCTCACTTATTAGGGTTTGCACATATTCAGGTCGACATACCTCAATATGTGCATGCATGGCTCTAACGTCCTCAGTCAGAGGGAGCAGGTCCGGAGTGTTCCACTTGGCTTGCCGGAGGGTCTGTAGGGCAGCAGAAGAAACACAGACGTCCCACCTCTTCTCAAAAAGCAGCCGGCTTCGTTGGAGGTTTTTAATAAATAGTTCATCAACACAATGCTCCATTTTTGAGTCACATTCAAGAATATCTGCTAGCTTTCTGAGGCTATGGCCGAGTTTGAGGGCCAAGGATGGAGTCTTGTATTGATTTGTTTCCTCATCATATCCAGCCACAGACCTGACTGCATCAATCACATGGTTAAAGTTGGAAGGAATAAAGAAATCCTTAATTGTTTTCAGTTTCCCTGCGGTTTTTGCTTCGTTAATTAACCTACCGACTTCTCTCATTTTCTGCCTAATGTAATCATGCTTTGTCTTATCATGCCCGTGTTTTAAGTACAGGTGCTCTCCGAGTCTCAGAATCCCCTTTTCTGCTTTGACAACACCCGTGACCTCATCCTGATGCATTGCCGAAATTAAAGACCACAGCTTTTTGCTGATGCCCTCCGGTACAGGCTGGGCTAGGGAGCAGAGGGACTGGACCCTACTTCTACCTGGTTTAGCCTGGGCATCTTTCTGTGAAAGCCGGCACCTGGCCACATGCCTCCACAGCGACTTTCGCTTAAGCAATGCCCCACAGTCTATACAGTGCAAAAACTCACTGGATTTAACTGGGGAATTTGGCTGTTTAGCTGGGACTAAAGTTCCAATGCCGGCCTTTAAAACCTCAAAATTGTGCTCACGGTTTCCACTATTCCTGATCAAATCAAACTGAAGTTTACGTGCTTTAGATTTCACAGGTAGAGCCAATGCTCTGGCTACGTCACTTTCATTTCCATGTTTTCTAGTCAAATGACGGGACATTTTGTGGCAGGACATTGAACAGTAGAGGCAGAAGTGTCTCTTGCTGTATACTCGCCCCCCATTTTTCTTCTTTTGCAGCTGCATGATAACAATCTTATTTGCCTTTGGTTCGTCACTTTCCGAGTCTTGAAGAAAAGTGTTTTTGATTTTTCTTTTTCCATACTTTTTTACAGGTTTCTTCTTGACAGTTAAATCGTCAGAATCTGAGTCGACTTCATCAATTAGGGACTCTTGACTAAGCTGCACAAACAACAAATAATTTGTAATCATTCTATATAACAATTTGAAGTCATGACTTGTAGTCAGCACTTACCAGTGGTTTGTAAGCGTGCGCTTCAGTGTGCTCCTCCATGATTTCTTGCAGCCTAATGAACCACACACTTGCACCTTTTTCTAGCCTGACACCTGATTTCCTCTGTTGTGCTGCTCCATGATTGGCTCCAGCCTGCTGGACTGAAATTGCCCCAGTGTGCCCCTCCTTGATATCCCGCAACCCACCACCAGGGTTCCGACACATAACACACTTTTTTCAGGAAAGTAAACCTCCAGGGGTCCTTTCCATATTTTTACAGAGACTGCATAAGGACCGTTAGAAAAGCATTACCCATTGATTATTAAGCTTGGACCAGTGGGGTCCGGTGTTCGGGCCCCACCACGTAAAACCAGTCCCCATGACGTGAGTGGAATCTCAGGTTATGGAACCCACCAGGAGTTGAAAACAAGTGCACACACACACAGACACACACACACAGACACACACAGACACACACACAGACACACACAGACACAGACACACACACAGACACACACACACACACACACACAGACACAGACACACACACAGACACACACACACACACACACACACACACACACACACACAGACACAGACACACACACACACACACACACACACACAGACACACACACACACACACACACACACACACACACAGACACAAACACACACACAGACACAGACACACACACACACACACACACACACACACACACACACACACACACACACACACACAAACACACACACAGACACAAACACACACACAGACACAGACACACACACACACACAGACACACACACACACACACACACACTGACTGATCAGGACTTTTTGGGCCGATCACTAAAATGTTGATCCGATCAAATATTGAAAATATTAGAGATAAATGACTAGGACCAGTTATTCACTTTAAAACTAATCTTTCAAAACCATCAAGGTAGGACTGTCTGTGACTGTCTGTGACTGTCTGTGACTGTCTGTGACTGTCTGTACTACACTGTAGGACAGTCTGTGACTGTCTGTGACTGTCTGTGACTGTCTGTGACTGTCTGTACTACACTGTAGGACAGTCTGTGACTGTCTGTACTACACTGTAGGACTGTCTGTGACTGTCTGTACTACACTGTAGGACTGTCTGTGACTGTCTGTACTACACTGTAGGACTGTCTGTACTACACTGTAGGACTGTCTGTGACTGTCTGTACTACACTGTAGGACTGTCTGTACTACACTGTAGGACTGTCTGTGACTGTCTGTACTACACTACACTCATCTTCCTCCCACATGTCTGTGAACATAACATGCAAAGTCCTGACTCAGGATGTTTCTGTCTGTGGCTCGGAGCTCAGTGCTGCGTCTGTGCTGCGTCTGTGCTGCGTCTGTGCTGCGTCTGTGCTGCGTCTGTGCTGCGTCTGTGCTGTGTCTGTGCTGCGTCTGTGCTGCGTCTGTGCTGCGTCTGTGCTGTGTCTGTGCTGTGTCTGTGCTGCGTCTGTGCTGCGTCTGTGCTGTGTCTGTGCTGCGTCTGTGCTGTGTGACTCTGGCTGGGCTGAGTGTCAATGTGAGGATATACAGTTTGGTAAAGCTGCAGTCAGATCAGGGCTGGGGGCAGAGGGCTGGGGGCAGAGGGCTGGGGCAGAGGGCAGAGTGCTGGGGGCAGAGGGCTGGGGGCAGAGGGCAGAGGGCTGGGGCAGAGGGCAGAGGGCTGGGGGCAGAGGGCTGGGGGCAGAGGGCAGAGGGCTGGGGCAGAGAGGGCTGGGGGCAGAGGGCTGGGGGCAGAGGGCTGGGGCAGAGGGCAGAGGGCTGGGGGCAGAGGGCAGAGGGCTGGGGCAGAGGGCAGAGGGCTGGGGGCAGAGGGCTGGGGGGCAGAGGGCTGGGGGCAGAGGGCTGGGGGCAGAGGGCTGGGGGCAGAGGGCTGGGGCAGAGGGCTGGGGCAGAGGGCAGAGGGCTGGGGGCAGAGGGCAGAGGGCTGGGGGCAGAGGGCTGGGGGCAGAGGGCTGGGGCAGAGGGCTGGGGGCAGAGGGCTGGGGGCAGAGGGCTGGGGCAGAGGGCAGAGGGCTGGGGGCAGAGGGCAGAGGGCTGGGGGCAGAGGGCTGGGGGCAGAGGGCTGGGGGCAGAGGGCTGGGGGCAGAGGGCTGGGGCAGAGGGCAGAGGGCTGGGGGCAGAGGGCTGGGGGCAGAGGGCTGGGGGCAGAGGGCTGGGGGCAGAGGGCTGGGGCAGAGGGCAGAGGGCTGGGGCAGAGGGCTGGGGGCAGAGGGCTGGGGCAGAGGGCAGAGGGCTGGGGGCAGAGGGCCTGGGGGCAGAGGGCTGGGGGCAGAGGGCTGGGGGCAGAGGGCAGAGGGCAGAGGGCTGGGGCAGAGGGCAGAGGGCTGGGGGCAGAGGGCTGGGGGCAGAGGGCTGGGGGCAGAGGGCTGGGGCAGAGGGCTGGGGGCAGAGGGCTGGGGGCAGAGGGCTGGGGCAGAGGGCAGAGGGCTGGGGGCAGAGGGCTAGGGGCAGAGGGCTGGGGGCAGAGGGCTGGGGCAGAGGGCAGAGGGCTGGGGGCAGAGGGCTGGGGGCAGAGGGCTGGGGGCAGAGGGCTGGGGGCAGAGGGCTGGGGCAGAGGGCAGAGGGCTGGGGCAGAGGGCAGAGGGCTGGGGCAGAGGGCTGGGGGCAGAGGGCTGGGGCAGAGGGCAGAGGGCTGGGGGCAGAGGGCTGGGGGCAGAGGGCTGGGGGCAGAGGGCTGGGGCAGAGGGCTGGGGGCAGAGGGCTGGGGCAGAGGGCTGGGGCAGAGGGCACCTTTAGCTCCTCTACCACACACACACACACACACACACACACAGAGACCCACACAGACACACACACACACACACACACACACACAGAGACCCACACAGACACACACAGAGACACACACAGACAGACACACACACACACAGACACTCACACACACAGACAGACACAGACACACACACACAGACAGACAGACACACACACAGACACGCACACACACACACCCACACACAGATAAACACACACAGACAGACACACACACAGACAGACACACACAGACACACACACACACAGACACACACAGACACACACACAGACACACACACACACACTAGGCAAGGCAAGGCAAGTTTATTTATATAGCACAATTCATACGCAAGGCAACTCAAAGTGCTGAACAAAATAAGAAAGCATTAAAATCCTAAATAATCACAGAACATTAAAAGAAAGATAAAAATAAATCCCTCAGTTGTAGCACAGCTAAACAGAACTGTCTTTAACCTGGTTTTAAACATTGTCAGAGAGGAGGCCTGTCTCACATCTTCAGGAAGACTGTTCCAGATTTTAGCAGCATGAATCTGAAAAGCAGCCTCCCATGTTTAGTTCTGACTCTGGGCACTAACAGGAGTCCAGTCCCTGTGCTCCTCAGAGTCCCAGCAGGAGTCCAGTCCCTGTGCTCCTCAGAGTCCCAGCAGGAGTCCAGTCCCTGTGCTCCTCAGAGTCCCAGCAGGAGTCCAGTCCCTGTGCTCCTCAGAGTCCCAGCAGGAGTCCAGTCCCTGTGCTCCTCAGAGTCCCAGCAGGAGTCCAGTCCCTGTGCTCCTCAGAGTCCCAGCAGGAGTCCAGTCCCTGTGCTCCTCAGAGTCCCAGCAGGAGGCCTGTCCCTGTGCTCCTCAGAGTCCGGGCTGGTTCATATGGGACTAACATGTCACTAATATATTTTGGTGCGAGGCCATGGAGAGACTTGTAACAAGCAGAGCTGTTTTAAAAGTCTATTCTCTGAGCCACAGGAAGCCAGTGCAGAGACCTGAGGACTGGACTAATGTGGTCGTACTTCCTGGTTCTAGTCAGGACTAATGTGGTCGTACTTCCTGGTTCTAGTCTGGACTAATGTGGTCGTACTTCCTGGTTCTAGTCTGGACTAATGTGGTCGTACTTCCTGGTTCTAGTCAGGACTCGAGCTGCTGCATTTTGAATGTACTGCAGCTGTTTTACAGCCTGTTTGGACAGACCTGTGAGCAGGCCCATTGCAGTAGTCTAACCTACTGGAGACAAATGCATGGATAAGAATCTCCAGGTCTGCTTTAGACACTATGTTTTTGATCCTGGCAATGTTTTTTTAGATGGTAAAAAGCTGCTGATGTTACTGATTTGATGTGGCTATTAAAATTTAAGTCTGAGTCCAGTATTACCCCTAGATTTCTGACCTTGTTTGAAGGTTTTAGGGAGAGAGACTGTAGGTGACAGATGACGCTCTCTCTTTGTTTCTGGGGACCAAAGACAATCATTTCAGTTTTTGTCTGCGTTTAGCTGAAGGAAGTTGTTTTGCATCCACTCACTGATCTGTTGGATACAGTGAAGGAGTGAGTCCACTGGTCCATGTTCTCCTGCAGTCAGTGAGACATAGATCTGAGTGTCGTCTGCATAGTTATGATAGGACACTTTGTTTCTGCGTATTAACTGACCTAACGGCAGCATGTAGAGATTAAACAGAAGAGGTCCCAGGATCGACCCCTGTGGGAACTCCACAGGTCAGGGCCATATGATCTGAGACACAGTTTCCAATCTCCACAAAGTACTTCCTGTCTTCAAGGTAAGACCTAAACCAACTTAGGGCGGAGCCAGCGACGCCAACCAGTCCTCTAATCTCTGTAAGAGGATCTCATGGTCGACGGTGTCAAAGGCAGCACTTAGATCTAACAAGATTAAGATTGAGACTTTGCCTGCGTCAGTGTTCAGCCGGATATCGTTTGTAACCTTAACGAGAGCAGTCTCAGTGCTGTGGTGGGGTCTAAAGCCGGACTGAAACATATCAAATGAGTTGTTGATTATAAGAAATCTAGTAAGCTGTAGGTAGACAACTTTCTCAAGGACTTTCCCCATAAATGGCAGATTTGAGATGGGACGATAGTTGTTAAGTACCGTAGCATCCAGACTGCTCTTTTTTAGCAGGGGCCTGATGACTGCAGTTTTCAGGGCCTTTGGGAATATTCCAGAATGAAGGGACATGTTTACTATCTGTGTGAGTGAAGGTAACAGACTGCTCAGAACAGACTTTAGAATCTAGTGGGTTAGTACATCCAGGCTACATGTGGAGGAGCTCAAACTGGAGATTATCTCTTGGACAGTTTGATCATTTACAGGTGCAAAGTGAGTTAGCTCAGAGAGCCTTTCTGGTGTTGGATGGGTATCTGTGGATTGGAGACAATAGCGTTTTTAATGCCTTGAACCTTGTCATTGAAAAAATGTGCAAACTCATTGCATTTACGTTTGGAAGTTAGCTCTAATGGCATCTGAACAGGGGGTTTGTTAATCTATTAACTGTTGAAAACAGAACACGCAGATTGTTACTGCTGCCTTCAATCATTTCAGAAAAATACTTTTCTCTTGTACTACGTAGCACCGGGTTAAACTTGCACAACTTATCCTTGAAGATCTCGTAATCAACCTGGAGGTTGGACTTGCGCCACTTCCGCTCGGCCCTCCGGCACTTTCTATTTTGTGCCCTGACCGAGTCTGCTTTAGCCCACGGCGCCTTCTGCTTATTTTCCACTATTTTAACCTTCACAGGAGCGATGGTATCCAGACACATTCAAAACACTAGAGGTGACAGAGTTAAACAGTTCATCTACAGTAGAACATGATGCATTCTCAAAGTTTATCATTCCCATAAATAGTTCACTCGTATTTTCATTTATGCGCCTTCTTCGAACAGTTGCAGAGTCCACTGGTGGTTTCTTAGTGAAAAACAGGTCTACATGTCAAAGTGAGATCAAAGGATTCAAGTACAGAACTCAGCTCTTTGGCATTTTCTGTCATCAACATTATCCACATGAATATTAAAAACTCACTGTAATAACCAAACTATCAAAATCTGTGCATACAACTGAAAGCATCGGTAAAATGATCAAATTAAATGTGACATGACTGCGGTGGCTTGTATAGGACAACGAGAGTATTGGAGGAGACTGTTTTTGTTGTATTTTAAAAGACACATATTCAAAAATTGACGAAAAACTTCTCCATGCGGACATTCTATGGGAGATCAAAGTTGGTCTCTGAAGAATGGCAGCTAAGCCTCCTACTTTTCTTGTTTTCCCGTATTTCAGATTAAATTTGATATTTGGTGGTGATGCTTCTATTTAAACTGGCATTTCCTGAATTTTGTTCAAGCCAAGTTTCAGCCCGCTGAACTAAGATCAGAGTATAAGAAAAATAAATTATTGATTAAAAAAGACTCTAGTTACAACGAGAATTGCATTAAGCATAGGCAACGTTTCAAAGTTTCAGTCATCAGAGGTTGGGTCGGCTGATTCTTTACACGAACAAGAATTAGATTTTCCCAGATTAGACTGATTAAACTCCAGATGTTTTTCTGTAATGTATTCTTTGTGTTATCATACAAGGGACTGGCACCAGGTGGCTTATGAACAGGGCCCCTAGCCGGGTTCTCTCTCTACCTAGACTGCAGTGGCTGCGATAGCAGAAGCCCCCTGTGCATCTAGTGTTTAGAGATAGAGGTGTAGGGGAAGGCGGGGAGAGGATGGAGAGGTGGGGGTTTTTGGGAGTTGAAACGACGGGGGGCTAGTAGCAGGATGTGGTAGCGGTTTTTGGGATGGGTTAGGGCCGGGGTGGGCGAGCAGAGGTTTTTGGGTGTTGAACGAGGGGGAAGTGGGGGGGTGGAGATGGTTCCAGAGTAGGGGAGGGACAGGTCTGAGGTGGTTTTTGTAGGTGAATGGAAACCTAGGTGGGTTTTCTGGTACGGTACATATGGGGACGTGATAGCATGTTGGACAGAACCCTAGATCTAGCTAATATGTGGTGTGAGTGGAATAGTGTTTCATCGCCAATTCTTCATTAGCCCTGCAGAAGTGTTCATGGTAGGTCTAACAGGAGGCGGGGATGAAAAAGAATGCCCAGAGATGCATACTCGATGGATGATACAGCCAGAGGATTGGAGAAGAAAATGTCATATGGGCAGATGAAACCAAGGTAGAAAAAAGTTTTGGTAAAAAAGCAAGTATTAAAATGTGGATTTGTTAATAATGATATGATTATGAGTAAAAGAGCCACTTGGCTGTAACTATGAGTTTTCATGTGGAGAAATGACAAAAGATCAGTCTGGGATGTTTTTTCTCTTGTTTGTGATGTAATGTTTCACTAGTCACAGAGTTATTACGGAAAAAAAAAAAAATCTTGCTGTGACTTGTATAATTAGAATCATGTAAAGCAAATTGTAATGTTTTCCATTACTGAGCGTATCTTAAGGCTTAAAACTGTAAGAGTGGTCGTTTGACGTGAGAGAAAACTTTTACCACTGATTACGACCATGTCACGATAAAAACGAGGGAAATGCTTTGACGCCCCCCCCCCCCCTACCGCATCAGCCCCCTACCTACTTTCTGTCCTCCTCTCTCTCTGCTTCTTCCTCTCTCTCTATCTCTCTGGTGAAGACAGAGCTATTACCAAATATATTTTTCTTTTCTGTAGAAAATGACATTTATACACACAATGATGGTACTGACTTGGAGTCATATGATACAAGAACTTGCATTGAGAGGTTAGATTATTAAAGAGGCATTCATTTTGTTTTTATCTCCAAGGCATTGGACACAGTTTTTTCCATAATTTTTTTGGTGATATAAAAGTTGTGAATGATTTTTAGAGAACATTTATACTTTTGGAACCAATAGTGCTTAGCGATAGCAGTGAATGCAGAATTCGGTTTTCAGATATCTAATGTTTAAACCTGGTTAATCT